ATAACATTTAAAAATTATATAAAAAATAATATAAAATATTGTTTCTATATTATCACCCTTAATTTAAAACCAAAACATAAAACCATAGGACACAACTAAACCCCAAATTTGCAGCATATGTGGCAAAAATATAATAAAAAATAATTTTAACTACCGACCGTTATGCAATTAACGGTCCAAATTAACGGATGTAGAAACGGTGTAAAGAAAAGGACAACAATGAACAAAATGTAGGCAGTAGGGGGGCAACATTTGGTGTGATTTGAGAGTAGAGGGATGACAATGAACAAATATGTAGTAGAGGGATGGTTATGAACAAAATTTGAAAGTAGAGGGATGACAGTTGGCTTTAACCCTAAAATATTATTAATTTAACTTATAAAAAATTAATAAAACCTTCAAATTTTTGCCTGAAAAACCAAAAAAGTTAAATTACGTTTGACCTAGATTTGAACCACTACAAAACAATTCATAAACAGGCAGCAAACACCGCTCCACTATTGCGCTAATGGTAATTATCAGTCACACCATAACACAAAAATTTATAAAACTTTTTAAATTTGTAAAATTCAATTTTATTTGATTTTATGAGTGGACGAAACGATTTAACAATTTTAAACCCAGAGATTATGAAATTTTAACTTAAATTTAACATAATTTGAATACTTAAAATCATAAAAGTACACAATTTTATAAGTAAAATCACGATTTTAATAATCTGATAGAAATATTAGATTATATATTAGATTATAGCTTAGATTAGCCCCTTGCTATAACAGCATCTGTATATATAGTGCAGGTACTTACATATAGGCTTTATAGCCAGTGACAGATGAGTATATATACCCTTAAATATTGATAATTAATCCAAATCTAAATTTTCAAATCTATATGCAAGCAGGCATGCGTAGGGGTGGGTAAAACCGGTTTTTGATTAAAACCGAAATCGGTTTTAAAATAATTATTTTTTTAAAAAAAATTTTGAAATTCAAAATCAAACCAAAATGATTAAAAACCAATCGATTTGGTTGTCAATAAAATCAGTTTGATTTCTGTTTTTGATAAATAAATAATAATTAATTATTTTTTTAATAATATATTATATTTTATCACATATTTTATCATATTTATCATAATTTCGATTTCAAGTGACTTGTTTTCAATTTTTAATTTTTAAAAAGTTCAATCGAAGTCGAACCAAAATATATTCGGTTAATATCAAAATAAAAAAATAAAAACTAAAAACCATTAAAACCAAATCGAATTCATTTTTTCGATTCAATTTTTGAATAACATATCGGTTCGGTTTCAAATTGCTCAGCCCTAAGCATGCGAGGCTCTTTTAGTACGTGGTAATTTTCTTGAAAAGTGATCAAATATCATACATGCCTGATGCTAGCTAGTAGCTAGTGTGGTGGGCGGCGGGACAATAAATCAAAGAAGTGAATTTCGTACAATATCGGTCGGTATGATCATACATATCGATTTTTTATATTAATCGAAACGATATAGTATGAAAATTTATTTTAGTCAAAATTCGATGTATTGGTCAAAATTTCGGTGTACAGCTCGGTTCATCGAAATTTCGATTGGTACAAACTAGCAAATTAAAAAAAAAAAAAAAAAAGGATTCTCTAGCCCAAAACGACATCGTTTTGGGCTAAGGGCTTCTTAATACCCTGCAATTGCAATTTCAGATACCGGTACACAAAAATTGTCTGTACAACTCAATTCAAATTTAAAAGAGGTAAATTTCATTTTTAATCCTCAACCTTAATGTTATATATAATTTTCATCCTTTAACCTTTTTATGTACTTTTTTAGTCCATTTTTCATTTTTTTTAATCTTTCTATCAATTATTTTGTTAAATTGGTCTAAATATACACATTTTTAGTCCCTTAATTTAAATTGGATGGACAAAAAATATACATATATTAGAAGTTGAGAGACTAAAAATGATCATTTTAAACTTATTTTTAATTTATAAGAATATCATAGTTTTAAATATTAGTATCTCTTATCTTATTTTAAAATTTGATATTTAATTTATAAAAATATATATTTATAATGATAAATCTAAAATGATATATGAAAAATTTTGGTATTCGATACGTACCGTTTCAGTAACAAAATCGATATGTATATCGATATGATATTGACTACTTTGCAATAAATACTCTTACATACATGTGGTAGTATAGTTACTTACAAAAAAGTGTAGAGGGGATGCATGGATGGAGAGGGAACTTATTTAAAAATAAAGTAGTAATACTCCAAACACACTAGAAAGCGACCAACATGGTTGAGGCAAGTGGCGGAAACAAAGAGAGATGGAAGGTATGATATTTTTCTTTTCAATATAATTCTACACTCTTTTTTTTTTGTCTGTACAATGAGATTTTGGGTAGAGTATTGAATTTTTTTTTTTCTACAAACTTTAATAGTATGTTTGATATTTTCTATTATTAATTATAATTCTACACCTTAAAGTGGGATAATTGAATATTGAATTTGATATAGGTAATAGAAATTAAGGTTATCAAAATTAAGAGGGTTTATGTTAAATCATTTTGGTTAGATAAAATTGAAATCGTAAAATCAAATTAATAATATTGAGAATTTATTAAATTAATTTAAAATTTATATATTATTAAAATTTAACATTGAATGTTCCAATTTAAAACTTATCTAAGTATAATTACTAATTAATTATTTCAAGTATTAATTGAGCATTATCTATTTTATAGTTATTAAACTGTTTCGAATTTTAATGGTTTTGACCTAAAAAATTATATAATAAAATATTATTAATTTAACTTATAAAATATTAATAAAACCTTGAAATTTTTGCTTGAAAATCCAAAGGAGCTAAATTAAGTGGTCTAGATTTGAACCGGTACAAAACAAACCTATAAATAGGCAACAAACACTGCTCCACCAATATGTAACTGATGATTATAAGTCACGACACAAAAATCTATAAAATTTTATAAATTTATAAATTTTGATTTTATTTAATTTTATTCAATTTTATAATTTTAAATCCCAAAATTATGAAAATTTAACTTAAATTTAACACAATTTAGATACTTAAAATCATAAAATCACATAATTTTATGAAAAAAAAATTATGATTTTAACAACCATGATAAAAACATTAGATTATGGCCTAGATTAGCCCCTCGCTATAATAGCATATGTATATATAGTGCAGGTAATTATATATATGCTATTATAGCTAGCACCAAATAAGTATATATACCCTTAAATAGTGGTAATTAATCCAAATCTAATTTTTCAAATCTATATGCAAGCAGGCATCCGAGGATCTTTTAGTACGTGGCAATTTTCTTGAAGAGTGATCAAATATCATACCTCATGCTAGCTAGTAGCTAGTATGGTGGCCGGCGGGACAATAAATACTTCTTACATACATAGGTAGTATAGTTGCTTGGAAGCAAGTGTAGAGGGGATGCATGTAGGGGTGGGCAAAAACCGGTTTCGGTTAAAACCGAAACCGATTTTGAATTAACCGAAAAATTTCGGTTTTATTTTTACAAACCGAAACCGAACCAAAATTATTATAAGTTAATCGGTTCGGTTACTGATTTTTATCAATGAATTTGGTTCGGTTTCGGTTTTTATTAAATAAATATTAATTAATTATTTTTTTAATAATAAATTATATTTTATCACATATTTTATCATATTTTGTTATATTTTATCATATTTTAATATATTTTATCTATTTTATTCTAATTTCGGTTTTATTTTTGGTTTTCATTTTTTAAGAAATTCAACCGAAACCGAACCAAAATATATTCGATTAATATCAAAACCAAAAAAATAAACCTAAAAACCATTGAAACCAAACCAAATTCATTTTTTCGGTTCAATTTTCAGGTAAACAATCGGTTCGGTTGAAAAATGCCCAGCCCTAGATGCATGGATGGAGCGAGAACTTATTTAAAAATAAAATAGTAATACTCCGAACATATTGGAAAGCGACCAATATGGTTGAAGCAAGTGGCGGAAACAAAGAGATATGGGAGGTAGGATATTTTTCTTTTCAATTATAATTCTACACTTTTTTTTTTGTCTGTACAATGAGATATTGGGTACAATATTGGATTTTTTTTGTTTTTTTACCTACAAACTTTAATAATATGTTTGATTTAAGAGGAAAAAAGAGAAGAATTTCTTTATTTAATTAAAAAAATTCTTTTATTTGATTAAAAAATAAGGGAGGGAGGAGTTAGAGGTGAAGTTTTAATATTTGATTTAGAGAAAAAATAGATTAGTAACTAAAATGAATATTTTAAACTAATTTTAGGCACTACAAAGATGATAATCTAAGGTTTTTTCAGAAATTGAAGAGAAATGGTAAAAATTTAAAGATTTTCTTACAAAATTTTTGGTTAAAATTATTATAGATTAAAAAGCCATTTTTATAATTAATATATAGACTCAAAGAGTTACTAATCGTGATATCAACATTCTATTTTAAACTTAATGACGAGATTTACCAAAAAGAGTAATGATAACTATTTTTATAATTAAATATTAAAAATAATTAAGTAAATAAAATAAAATTTAATAATAAAATTCATAAAATATAAAATTTGTGGATTAAATTGAAAATTTTCCAAATGACCAAGGGGCCCTGATCCAAAGTAGTCAATACCGTACCGGTATGCGTACCGATTTTGCTACTGGAACGGTACGTATCGGATACCTGAATTTTTCGCGTACCGTTTCGGATTTATCGCTATAAATATATATT